AGGGAGGAAGGGAGGGACAGACACACTAAGTTGAAGTGAAAATAGACCAGCCAGCAATGGGGTGAAAAATGAGCTTGGGGGTTATGAGTTTCAATCGACTCTGATGATGTCTGGGAGACATTTTCATTATGTGATAGTTAAATGGGAAAAAGTGAGCACCCTTTGCTTTTGAAAAAAATAAATGGCTTGGAGTTGTAAAAAACAAAAAAAAAAAAACCTCAACACGGTTCAGTCTAAGAGTAATGCTGTTGTTTTAGCAAACTCAACATGAGATTCTTAGTTATAAAAAGACTAAAAGGAGGTTATCATAAGAGCATTTACTTAAAAGGCGACCCCACCACATGGATCCTCAACACAATGTAAGAGTGGGCGCCAGTGTATATACTCAGGGGGAAATTCCTAGAAACAGTAAAATGCCCCTGTCTTCCAAGGGACAGAGAAAGGAAAATATTTGCTTTCTACTTTCAAGATCCAGTAAGAATCTGGAGAACAAAACCGGCATTCTCAAGTGTCATCATTTCTCTGAGAAACTTCTAAGAAACTAATATTTTGGTTTGTCGACAACCATTGAAGACTCCATTTATTTAAGGCACCTTACACTTCAAGGTGTTTCTCTGAAATCATAGCAGACTTTCTGTAAGTACTCTGAAATTTAAGTAGAGCGGTATCTTCCTAACAAACATTGGTGGACACTCCTTAAAGGCAGAATCCATTCTTATCGTTTTCATTCTGTACACAATGGGCCTGAATGAAAGGTTTGCATATGAACAAATAAAGAACATCAGAAAAGCACAGAAATTCAGACTGAATATGGACTTTACTATCTGATCACAATTGAGAAAATGTCAGGACTCAGAATTTTAGGTTCTAATACCATCTTAAGGTTTTCTCCAGCAAAAGGGCTTTAAACCATTTCTATGACCGTTAATGTTAAATCAGTACCACTTAGCTTCCTTATTTCCCTAACTGAAACAATTCACTTCCTTTCTGGTGTTATTTCAAACACAACAGTAAATTACTTTAGGGGAAGTGAGTATCACTCCTGTAGATGTTTCCATAAAAGCAAAAGCAACATAAGGGACCCAAGCAAAAAAATGCCTTTGGTCTCCAAGCAGCAAAGAGCAGGCTTAAAAAGAGTTCAATTAGGTATTTAAGCTAAACCCTTAGAACCAGACTCCCCAGATAAGACACTCTAATGGTTGTGTTAAAAGAACTCAAGAAACAATCTGAAGAGACTCCCTGTGGTCAAAGACAGAATGAACATCATTATGGATAATTACTACAGTGTATTAAAACTTTTCAGAGGGGCTTATATCCATGAATTCATAATGAACTAAGAAAATAAACTTAATTGGTCACCAGTGAAGAATGCTAGTGAATCAATTTTTTTTTAAATGTATCTTGTCCAAAGAAACAAAGGAGAAAATAAACAAATGGGGTTACATCAAAATAAAAAGCTTCTGCACAACAAAAGAAACCATCAACAAAACCAAAAGGGAGCCCACTATATGGGAGAATATATTTGCCAATGACACATCTGATAAAGGGTTAATATCCAAGATATGTAAGGAACTCATACAACTTGAAAGGAAGAAAAGCAATCCAATTTAAAAATGGGCAAAGGCTCGGCCGAGCATGGCTCAGCAGTTGAGCACCGAACTAGGATCCAAGAGATCGAGGTTAAATTCCTGCTCAGGGCATATGCTTGGGTTGTGGGCTCAATCCCCTGTCAGGGGCATGCAGGAGGCAGTCCATCAATGACTCTCTCATCATCGATATTTTTATCTCTCTCTCCCCCTGTCCCTTCCTCTCTCTGAAATCAATAAAGATATATATATTAAAAAAAAAAAGGGCAAAGGACCTAAACAGACACTTCTCCAAAGAAGACACACAGATGGCCAAGAGACATATGAAAAAATGCTCAAAGTCATTAATCATCACAGATGCAAATTAAAACCACAATGAGGTATCACTTTACACCTGTCAGAATGGCACCATCAACAAATCAACAAATGACAAGTGCTGGCAAGGATGGGGAGAAAAGGGAACCCAAGTACACTGCTGGTGGGAATGCAGACTGGTGCAGCCACTATGGAAAGCAGCATAGAGTTTCATCAAAAAATTAAAAATTGGAGATAAAAGATGGCAGCAGACTGAGTGGAAGCTACACTGCCACTTTCCCAGGACCAAACTGGAATTACAATTAAAATACAGAAAAACCATCCTGAATAATCAATTGCAACCGAAGACGAGCTGGAAAGCACTCATAACCAAGGAGGAAGAGTGGAGATGACATAGAGACTGGTAGGAAGTGCGGAGGCACAAGAGGGCTGGCAGGGCTCCCACAGGCAGCAGCTGAAGGTGTGGAGGGAGATCTCAACTGTGGGGGGTTCCCACTGAGGACTCTGGGCCTAAACCCCAGGCTGGGCTTCCCAGTTCAGAGCACCAAAACTGGGAAGGTACCCACATAACATCTGGCTGTGAAAAGCAGCCGGGTTTCTGTCTGCCAGGGAGAGAAAGCTGGAAATGCAGACACCCTCTTAAAGAGCCAACGCAGTTTCATGTGCAGCCACTCACCTTGGGCTCCAGCAGAGGGAGCGCAGAGTGGAGTGGACTGGAGCTGTGAGAGGAGATCTAGGGTAGTGGGCTCTGGAAATAGAGCTCAGAGGGCACCCATCTGGACTCCTGTGCTGAGTCATTCCCCTATACTGCAGAGGCATTTACCTTCCAAGCAGCTTTTGCCTGAGGGGGAAGCAATTGCCCCACCTTGCTGGAAACCCTCTCACACTACCACAAGGAGTTTCTACAGCCCGAGGCTCATTAAGAGACGCATAACAGCCCCGCTGGCCTGGCTCAGCAGTTGAGCATCGACCTAGGATCCAGGAGATCCAGGTTCGATTCCCAATCAGGGCACATGCCTGGGCTGTGGGCTTGCTCCTCAATGACTCTCTCATCATTGATGTTTCTGTCTCTCTCTCCCTCTCCTTTCCTCTCTCTGAAATCAATAAAGATATATTAAAGAAAAAAAAAGAGAGAATCAGATTAATCAGCCTGCAGGCAGAGGCAGATTTCAGAGTGCTTCGAGTTTTTGCCTGATCTGCTTCTGGACCTGGACCTTGGAAAAGCAGACTTTGGTGGGCATCTTGGTCATGCCCAAACACACCCAGCCCCAACAGAGGGGACCTCAAGCTGTGGGTTGTTGATAGCTCCAAACAGGGTACTCAAGGCCAGTCACAAACAGCATCTGACATTGGCCTGCACCAGAGACCTTCCAAAAAGACTGAGAGTCCTAGCAGATGTACCTAATACATAGAAGAAACCCAAATAGGCAGCCAAAATGGGAAGACAAAAAAACAAGCCCCAAATGAAAGAACAAGAGAAGTCTCCAGAAAAAAAGCTAAATGAAATGGAGATAAGCAATCTATCAGATATAGAGTTCAGAATACTGATTGTAAGGATGCTCAAGAGCATTAAAAAAGATAGGAAACTATGAAGGAAATTAAGAGTGGCATAGCAGAAATAAAGAATACACTGGAAGGAATAAACAGCAGATTAGAAGAAGATGAGGATCAGACCAGTGAATTAGAAGACAGGGTAGAAAAAAATCACTCTATCAGAGACCCAAAAAGAAAAAACAATTTAAAAACAGGAGG